ACTGTGCCTATAGATAGGTCTTGGGACTCTATTGGCGTTGGTACAGAGGTTTTCATGAACCCTGATCAAGTTGTAGAGTGGACTATCAGTGACTTTGATATCCTGATGCATCCAAGGCCACATGATTAGTAGTTTTTCCTTTTCTTCTATTATTTTTGTACATGGTCTAAGGACCAAGTTATAAATTTGGCAAATGTATGAAGCTTTGAAATTTGATTTTTTTGGTTCGATTCAATTCAATCATTTTATTTATTTGTCTGTTTATTAGGAGTTTGAAAAGCAACCAGAAAGTTTTGTCCATTGTTTTAATTTTATGATTGCTAGCTACCCATATAAAATCTTCAATTGGTTTGCCAATGGCTTATGGATTGGTATGATTCCTTCTGGTCTAGAGAAAAAGGAGGCATAGAAAGAAATAATTAGGAAAAGAGATTTACTTAGGCCAGCCTGGTTTGCTTCTTATGATGTTTTGTTTGAATTTTCTATTATAGGTGAACTTAAGATATTCCCATGCTTCCTTATTATTTCTTCTTTGTAATACTTGAAAGAATGATTTGTTAGAATGGGAGAAATGGGTTTTCATCAAATTATTTTTTGTTTATATTAGGCCTTTTCTGTGGTTAATTAATGGTGTGTAAATGACTAAGATCTGATTAAGAATCTCTGTAGTGTTTTGAAGGAAACTTCTTTTTTCCAATATCCATGCATTGATGAAGTTTAAACCTTTGTACTTGGTCATTCATACAATTCACATTGGAATTAATCCATTTATTGTAAGCAAAATAATGGGTAAAACACAAGGTAGCCCTGCTCAAGTATATTATGATTCAGGTTGGCAGATTAAGCTGAAGCAGAGGAAACAACTACAATGAGAACTAGAAAAATGAGCAGGGTTAGCAGCTAAATCTGCCAACCCAAAACTAATCTGAGAACTCAGAAGTAACCCTGCTTAAGATAATGGGTAAACTTCAGTTTTCTTGAAATTCTAAACTTAGAAGTAATCCATTTATTGTAAGCAAAACACTAGATTTAGCTGCAGTTTACTTCAGAGTTGTCAGATTTAGCTGAAGCAGAGGAAACAACTGTTAACCCTGCTCAAGTATATAATGATTCTGGTTGGCCATTCACTGGTGTGCTGTTAATGAGAACTTTTGAAAATAAGAATGAGACAGCTGTTAACTTTGGACCTTTAATAGCTAATAGGTAGAAGGCATGCTAAATATTTTTTACTAGCTCATAGGTCGGTCTTAGTGATGTGGTTAAGGTTAGGGAAATGACTATGATGGCATATGTTGAACTACTGGAAATGTCGAACCACATTTCAAATTCAGAAGTAAACTGCAAATGCTGCCCTGTGATGCAGTTCAATTTGGCAGTAAAAATAGATGATATGACATTGACAATACAATCCTTGAAAACTCAACCAAGGTTTAACCAATGAGGAAATAGGGAAGGCAAAGAAACTCCAACCTCAATCCATTAGTCATTCCATTTTCTATGCCTTATGTGTTTTCAGTAGTGATTTCCTTGTACTGTAACAGAATAATCACCAAAGTCATTTAAACTTCATGGATAATGTCCTAGTCAAAATAAAATCATGGATGATGCTGAACTACTTGAAATAATCCCAAGGCAACAATTTGTTCTACCTGTGCTTCAAATTGGAGCTGACTGACTGGAACTGGAGTACATGTTTTTTATCAATATTCGTCTTTTGTCCTTGCATGCATTTCAAAAAGGAAACTTTTTAGCATTTAAATATGACTGAGATTGTGATACTGGAGTGCCAACTGGATGTTTCACTAAGATAAATGAGATCCAAAATGGTTTATTCTGTTGTAATATTTCATACCTGAACAAATTATGTATCTGGTTCGAAAACTTCAGCCAACGAACCAATTGAATCATTTAGTCTATAATCAAACAGTCATACATCGTTAGGAGAAACACAATATTTATCATGGTCATTTGTTTCATTTAAGGCAGGGAAGGAATAAGCCTGTGTAGTCATTGTTTCATTTAATTCTTCCCTTGATGTTCTATTTGGATGCCTAATTTTGTGTTGAGCTTACTTTGTAGCATCTGATCATTACTAGTCTTTTTTGTTTTGATTGATTAAATTTTGTGTTCGTTAAATGATTGAAGTAACTGTGCAAGGTGGCAGAATCTAATGTGGTGTGCATTTCCATGGACGTTGTTTCTTTCTTGGTATATATATATATATATATATATATATAGATAGATAGATAGATAGATAGATAGATAGATAGATAGATAGATAGATAGATAGATATTGAAACATCAGATATTGATTTGTGGTCTTGGCGCTAATGGAAAAACATGCTATAACACTAAACTAAGCTGTATAATCTATCATGTGTACAACAAATTTTCAGGGTTTAAGGTGATTAGAGGTTACAACCTCTGAGTTTAAGAGGTTTGTTGTGGATTGCAACTCATACTTAAGTCATATTTTGGATCTGTCAGTCAACAGGGTCTCTTGAGGGTTTTTTTTTTTTTTTTTTCATGAAGTTTTGAAGCACGAAGTCTTTGCTTCCAGGTCTAAAAATTTGTTCCATTGGAAGGCAATATTGGATAATTCCATTATCCAGGTTTGCAATCATGTGGTTGGTATGACAGAGTATTCACAATTACATGCTTTCCGGAAGAGACGATGTTTTGAAGCACGAAGTCTTTGCTTCCAGGTCTAAAAATTTGTTCCATTGGAAGGCAATATTGGATAATTCCATTATCCAGGTTTGCAATCATGTGGTTGGTATGACAGAGTATTCACAATTACATGCTTTCCGGAAGAGACGATGTACACAAGTAGGCAATACTTTTAGTAACATTAAGATAAATTAGTATGTTTATTTGTTTATTGACTCTTATTTGATATCTGGGACGGTATTTTCTCTAGTATGTTGTTTTACCAATAATAGATCATAAAAACTTATTATTTATTTGTTTATTATTGTGGGAGCTGGTATCTTATTTCAAAAATTCCTGGTTATCTGCTACCACACTAGCATGTGACTGACGACTTTATCCTGAAAATCCTGTGTCTGTATTTTTCCATTTTGTTGATGTTATACTTTTATGTGGGATATTGTACACATAACTGACATTGTATTCAGGCACTAAAACTGTTTCCGAACTCTCATTATCATGGATACTGGTTTGTCTTTTCATGCTGCACCAATAATTTAACAATGGATAATGGAATGGTGTTAACAGCACTCATGTAGTAAACCCCATATAGTTGGTATAAGGCTTGGGTAATGATGATAATGATTGGATAATTCCATTGTTGATTCTGTTTCAGGGGTGTCACAGTTAGAGCAGAGTTGTTTTGTGGGTCTTCTACTACCATGTGCTTGCACCGTAGTCTCTTTTTGGCATAGTTTGGTTCTATCCCAGCTTATTTCTTTTTTTTTTTTTCTTTCCTTGTGGTGTGGCCACATTTTCTGCCATCTTTCACTAGTTTCTTGTATATTTTCTTACTGTCACTATCTAATAGAATCTCTTCCTTTTTATTGATAAAGAAAAAGTAAGTTATCCACTGCAAATGTATTGTAAATTATATTATTATCATCATCCATACTTTGTCAATCTGCTTTTAATTTTTTCCACGTTTCTCTCTTATGAAGACAAATGAATATAAATTCTCTTAAGAAAAACTATTTTTATTTATACCTTTCTCCAAGGATTTTTGTTAAACACTCTATGTATGAATGCGATATTATCTCTAAGACCAAGAAAATTCATATGTGGAAACGTCATAAAGTATAAACTATGGCTTCTTTTATTAATCTCCTTATTGTGAATATGCATGTGTTGTTATTAAACTAAAAGTTTATACCTTCTTCTGGAATGTTTAGTACTGCAGGGTTGCACTTTGAGTGGTTTATTAATATGTTCAGCACCTAATCAACAATTAATATGTTTTTTTTTTTTTTTTTTTTGTGATGGATCTATGTACTACAATCAATAAGGCATTGAAGGAAATGAGATCTTTTCTCTTTTGCTCACAACTAGTCCAACCACTAAGTTTCAGGCCCCAGTTGTCCAATATTGCAAATCCTGATGAGGTCTGCTAAGCAGATGACTGGAGGATCTTAGGTTTGCCTATGCATTTTGTCCTAGCAAGATGAGTTGATCAAAATAAATGTATTCTATGTAAACATGCTCGTCTACTTTCTTTCAGTGTTTCAGATCCCTTCCAAAATCAGATCACAGATCGAAAAACTTCAAAGAGATTTCCTATGGGAAGGTGGAGGTGTTAGAAAAGGGCATTTAGTGAATTGGAGTCGGGTCTGCAAACCAAAAGAGGTTGGAGGGCTGGGAATCGGACACCTAAAAGAGAAGAATACTGCCCTCCTAGGAAAATGGTTGTGGATATTCCCCATTGAATCAAACTCCCTTTGGGCAACTATCATCACCAGCAAGTATGGGTTAAATGCAAACGGTTGAGACTGCTATCTCTGCTCAAACCGATCAGTTTCCTCAAATCCCTGGAAAGGTATCACTTCCATTCACAACCTCTTTTTTTCTTTCATAAGATTTAGGGTGGGTAATGGATCTAGAATAAAGTTTTGGACGAACCTGTGGTGGAGCAACTCCACATTAGCAGAATCTTATCCTAGGCTCTACAACCTTACCCTAAACAAAGGTGCAACCATCTCTCAGTGCCTCCCTATTTCTCCCAATGAAAGCAACATAAATCTGAGTGTCAGAAAACCCTTAAGGGATCCGGAGATCAGTGAGCTTAATGACCTTCTCCTCTCTCTTAGAGAAGTCTACATTTCCCCAAACTCCCAAGACTCCCGAATCTGGAAACCCAACCCTGGAGGTGAGTTCTCGTCCAAGTCTTTCTTCGAAGCTCTAGTTGCAGGAAACTGAGACTGGCTTCCCTTTCAAGAAGATCTGGTGCATGTTTGTTCCCTCTAGAATGAGTTTCTTTGTTTGGGAGGCTTGTCTGCATAGAGTAAACACCTGTGAGTTATTGCAGAAGAAAAACCTTGGAAGGCTTTTTATCTCCCCTCACGTCTGTATCCTATGCCTCCGTGAGGGAGAGACAAATGACCACCTTTTCATACACTGCCAGGTAGCCAGCAACATCTGGAATTTCTTCCTACAGCTAGTTGGCTATAGTTGGGTGGCTCCTAAGCACCTTCAGGATCTGATTTGTCAGTGGCAAGGAAGAGGTCTGAGCAAGAAAGGTAATACTTACTGGTTGATAATACTTCATGCTGTACTCTGGGGAATTTGGGAGGAAAGCAACAATCGACTGTTTGAAAATAAGACAATCAAAGGGTGAGCTGATCAACCACATCTCTTATCACTGCAATTTGTGGGCTTCCAGCTCAGAGGAGTTCACAGGAATCAATGTTAACGACCTTAACAGAAATGTGTACAACTTTTTTATCTCCTCCTCCTCTATCCCATCCCCCGAGTTCCCTCATTAAGAAAGGAAAGAACTTGGACTCTAAGCTTTGATGGTAGTGCTTTTGGTAACCCTGGAGCGGCTGGCATAGGGGGAATCCTAAGAGATGAAAATGGTCTCACCTGCTGGGTATACAGTGGACCGATTGGGATTGCTGACTTCACAAAGGTAGAAGTGTTGGCAGCTCTCACAAGGATTCACCTAGTTAGCAAACTGGGTATTCAGAACTTCTCCATCGAAGGTGACTCAGCAAATACTATGAGATGGTTAGGTCAACAGGAGACTGGACCTTGGAGACTCAGTCACTTCTTAACAGAGGCAAGGGACCTATTGGATCATTAGAACGCTTCTCTATACTGGATCCAAAGGGATCTAAATGCTATTGCAGATGGTCTAGCAAAATTAGGAGTCATTCTGGAGTCCTTGTACTGTGATAATTTTCCTCATGTGTAATTCTCAGGGGTCTGGCCCCTGCTTTGTATTTGTACACCTTCTTGTGTACTCCTCTTTCCTTTATTGAAATCAATGAACTTCTTTCAAAAAAAAAAACTATTATGAAATTATAAACACAACCATTATTTGTTGTAATGGTAAAATCTTGGGCTGGAACACAAGCTGGAGTCTGAGAGTGGCCACTTTGTCCAAAAAATGCCAGAGGTTAGGACCACATCCAGTTTACCCCTCCCAAGACCCCAGATAGCTAGGACCAACGTTGGGTAATGGCCTTTATCTTCCAATTGTAAACAATTAAACTGCAAATTAGGCCATTAAATAATTAAATCACAAGAATAGCAGCCCTGATTAGAAAAAAAAAAGGACAAGATCTGGTTGAGATCATGAGATTAGGAATTTCTGATAAGAAAATCCGATATAGAGGGATTGGATGATTGACAGATATTGATAGAGAGAAGGAGAGGGATGAAAACAAGTAGATCTATTGCTCTATCTTTGTATCTTATTCAGTTTTGACTTTTTAATAAATTAGAAAATTTCCAATTGCTTAGGCTTTGTTTGGAAGGAGTACAAATGCAAATATGTAGAGTGCAACACCTTGTATTTTGTATTATTTTGTATGTATTTGCATTGTACATATTTGTATTTGGACTCTTTACAAACTGAGCCTTAAGGGGTCCTGGTATTGTGCTAATTTTGAGAACTACGGGTACATACTCTTGAATTGATCTCAAATTATCTATACATACCTGTTTTGATATAATATATAAAGAGAGCACAATTACTTATTTGCCTCCACTAAAATTGTTTTACCCATACTGCTCACCTAGTTTGTTGTTAAAAAGAAGTGTTATGTTCGTGGAATAGAACTAATATCATAAATTTCCACATTTTCTTGGGATAACATGTCAAAAAGAAAGGCAACATCTAGAAGGAATCAATCCCATTATTAACTGAATTTTTTTCTGCCTTGGGCTATTTTAGTCCCCCCCCCCTCCCTTCCCACCCCTATAGTTGGATAAGCCCTTATTGAGTTGAATTCTGTTGGAATTTCCTCCCTTCTCCATTTTAGTTTTTATCTAAATATGGTAACAAGTATTTTCTAATGCAGACCACACAGTTTATATAACAAGAAACTGAATAGCTTTTCTATTATCAAAATTTTTCTTGTTGTAATTTGAAATACGGTCATTGGTCAATGACTAACATGTATACTTGTTATAGGGACAATTCCAAGCAATGTTCTTGGTGGCAAGAGATAGGTCTTTTATTGGGATGTATCAACTGGTCATTGTTTCATTTTCAAAGTTCATTGAAAATTTGGGATGTATCAACTGGTCTTCTATTATTGGGATGTATCAACTGGTCATTGTTTCATTTTCAAAGTTCATTGAAAATACGGTCATTGTTTCAAAGTTCATTGAAAATTTGGGATGTTTCATTTTCAAAGTTCTTGGTGGCAAGAGATAGGTCTTTTATTGGGATGTATCAACTGGTCTTCTATTATCAGTAGTTTTCCTTGTAATATATCATTGTTTCATTTTCAAAGTTCATTGAAAATTTGGCAGTACCAGCCTTAGAAAATCAACTAAGAATCAACCCAAGGTGCTCAATGTGAGCCTTTCCAATTATAAATTCTTAGGTGATGTTGAGGTTATCCTCATAATGGAAACCTTTCTTTATGTAAAATCTAGGTTTTGTGTATAAAAAGGTTTGGGTGATATATCAGTCTCTGAACTCTGAATGCAATTTATTAGAAGGATTAGAAAGTAATTGAAGCCATTATGAATGATCTCAAAATTAAAACCTAATAAGGTGATCCAATTCTCAGCTTCTCAAAGGAGCAAAAATTCAGGAGGTTCTGGACTGACAGATAGTGTGGAGAGTCTACTCTAGAAGAGCAATTCCCTTCCTTTTTGAAATAGCCCAGAACAGAAATGCTAAAGTGGGAGATTGCTTTGAACAGGTAAATAATGAAGTGATATGGGGACCTTCATTTAGATGAAATTTAAATGAATGGAAATGAACCCAATGGTCGAGTTGATAGGACTATTTCAAACCATCAAGGCAAACCCAATGGAAGCTGAGGACTGGATATAGAAACCGGAAAGGATGGCCAGTTCACTGTTCAAGGTTGGTTTCACAGGAACCAAATCACTTCCCTTAGGTTAAAATATGGAACCCCTGCATCCCATCAAAGGTGGCTTTCTTGGTGTGGACAGCCTTCACTTGAAAGATGTTTAACAAATGATCTGTTGTTAAGAAGAAGTGTGAGAGCATAGACATGTTTAAGGCCATAGGCTTGATCTAACTTGTCCCAAGCCAAAGCCAAATCGGCCCGGTTCATCTTGGATCATGAAATAGCAATTCAGGGCAAGCCATGAATGTCACCTACGCTTTTAAAGGGATGAATTCCATATCAAGGGGGACTCTCTTGATGATCCTTCCCATCCTCCTTTTCTTCCCCCACTGATTCATTCCATCAACTTTGGGCCATTCCTTAGACTTTTGGAGATCTGACCACTGGATATTTGTAATGAATGCACATAATCTTCAAGCCACCTTTTTATCCATTGCAAGTTATCTCACCATTTAAGAACTCTAGCCTTAACAGTGTTTTAGGGTGCAATGTTGCATGCTGAAAACAGTACTAGAATTAATCAAAAGGATGGAGAATACAAGGTTTAAGCAATGGAGTGAAGGTCCTTTGGGGTATTTTCCTACTTATATATTATATGGTCAGTGTGGAGAGAAATAAATATGCACATTGTTGAAATAAATATATAGATATGGATGTAGTAACGAGGAATTTAAAAAGATTACTATGTTCATGGTTAAGCATATACAAAAACCTTTTCAGGGAGTCCAGTTTAGCTCTTATTTTGTTGGTGGATCTCATTTCATTTAATCATACAAATTTTTGTTTCAATGCATATCCCCATTGTACATGGGCTGATATATATTTTGATTGGTCCGTTAATACAATATATTGCCTTTCAAAAAAAATCGAGGAGATATCTTTAGTCTTCTACTTCTGCACAAAAATATGTTCTTGGATCTATGAAATACTTACTTATAATTACCAAATGCCATTGAATTGTGAAGAATTCTTCCAAACTGGGAAGCTGTAGAAGCACTTCAATGAGCAATCCCAAACACCATACTCAATTATGGCTGTCTTGAGTTATTACTAGTGGTACTCTCTCCTCCTAATTGATAAGCTAACGACACTACAAGAATCCCTAAAACTGCCGCTAGAGGCTTTACCGGAAGCTGGCAAACTGCCGCTAAAACAACTATCGCTAGAGGTTCTAGCGGCAGTTTTCGCGGCTGCCGGAATAAATCTTAAGCTGCCGCTAGAAGTTCTTTTACTGCCGCTAAAACTAACGCAATTGTAGCACTCTTAATTTAATGTATCATCAATTTGCTATTGAGAAATTGAGACTGTAGCACTCATTTTCTTTCCTATTAACTGACTTTTTCCATGGTTCATTTGTAGATCATCGACACGTTCTCAGAGAGTATAATGTCAATTTATTTGACAAAATGTGAAATACTTTCTGGGAATGTTGATGGAACTGTTAAAAAATTTGACATGTATTGGTAAGTACGTAAGACCAATGGTCAATTCAGTTTCCCTGCTTTAAGTGCCACATCTATTTTCTCGAGAAGCTTGTTATCTTTAGTTTTGTATTGCTCTTTAGAGACATATCTAATGACTTGAGGTAACCTGTGAATTGCATTTCAATGTCAAATGATGGTAATTGCATATTGGCTAGTTGCTTAGACCGATTCTGCATCTTTTGGACGGGTGACGTAGCATGGAAGCGATAAACCGGGCTGGCTATGCAAGCACYGGGYGAACCAARTTTMTAGCGAAACAAGAAAGAGAGAAAATCTCTAGAGGAGAGAGAAAAGGTGGCGAGAATTGAATAGAAAATCTGAAGTGTGTATTAACTGAAAACAATAGCAGTATNCAAGAAAGAGAGAAAATCTCTAGAGGAGAGAGAAAAGGTGGCGAGAATTGAATAGAAAATCTGAAGTGTGTATTAACTGAAAACAATAGCAGTATTTATAGTACATCTGGAAATTATAGAATAACTAGAAAACTGTAGTTGATCTAAACATCTCAATCTCATAGCTGGATCGAACTCTTCTTGATCTTGGTCTTGATAGGATCGAACTCTTCTGGCTGGATCTTCACCGTTGGATCTTCTTGGATCTAATCCATGAATCTTGGGAGTCTTGGATTATCTTGAATTTTTCTTGATTATCTTGAATTTTTGATGGATCTTGAATTCTTGATTTCTTGATTATCTTGAATTCTTGAATTATCTCTAGCCCTTATCCTTATCCTATGAGCTGCCGCCCCTAAGGTGATGTGGGCCTTGGGATGGGCCTCCATCATTCTCCCCCACTTGGAAAGAACTCGACCCCAAGTCGTGACTGGGATATGCAAGTGTCATCTCTGGCAGGTAGCGATGGATGTCAGCAACATTGAAGGTCTTAGAGATACCCATATGATCTGGTAGGCCCACGACATATGCATTGTCGTTGTTTTTCTTCACGATCTTGTATGGGCCGTACTTCCGAGGCTGCAACTTGTTGTATTTTCCTACTGGAATCCTTTCCTTCCTCAATAATACCATAACTTCGTCACCGACGTCAAATACTTGGTGTCGACGATGCTTGTCTGCTGCCAACTTGTACTTGGCATTGGTTTGTTCTAGCTTTTGTTTCACGGATTCTTGGATGGATTGGATTTGGTCCGCCATCTGTTCTGCGGAGGTACTGACACCGGGTACTCTAGGTAATTTTACTAGGTCCAGTGCATGATTTGGAACCTTCATGTAGACAATGGAAAATGGAGATCTGCCTGTAAAACTATGTACTGCATTATTATAGGCGAACTCAGCCTGTGCAATGGCGAAATCCCATTGTTTTGGTCTCTCCCGACATATACTGCGAATCAAGTTACCAAGGGTCCGGTTCACCACCTCGGTTTGTCCGTCTGTCTGCGGATGGGCTGTGTTGCTGAAATTTAGTGAAGAATCGAATAACCTCCATAGGGTCACCCAGAAGTGGCTTAAGAACCTTGTGTCTCGATCTGAGGTAATAGCCTTGGGTACCCCATGTAGACGGACAATCTCCCTGAAAAATAATTTTGTTGTTGCTGAGGCATCTATTGTTTTCTTGCATGGGAGGAAGTGAGCCATTTTAGAGAACCTGTCAACTACCACGGAGACGGAGTCCATGTTCCTTTGGGCCTTTGGCAGGCCTAGCACAAAATCTATGGACAGGTCTTCCCAAATAGTAGTAGGAACGGGTAGGGGCATGTAGAGACCAGTATTTTGGGTTTGCCCCTTAGTTGTCTGGCAAATATAGCATCTACTTACAATGGTGGACACATCCCTCCTTAATCTCGACCAATAATAACGCCCTTTAACTGCTTCAACTGTCTTATCCCTTCCCAGGTGTCCTGCTAGCCCACCCCCATGCAGATCCCTAATGATCTTTTCATGGAGGGAGGTGCAAGGGATGCACAGTTGTTCCCCTTTCATAAGGAACCCATCATGAATGTAGAAATCATCTGATGGTTGTCGATTCACACATTTCTCCCACACCTGTTGGAAGTCATCATCCCGAGCGTATAGGTTTTTTAGGCACTCAAAACCCACAATCTCAATACTGAGGGTCTTGATGAGGGCTACTCTTCTATTAAGGGCATCGGCCACTTTATTCTGTTGTCCAGCCTTGTACACAATTTTGTATGGGGATTTGTCAAGGAAAGTAGACCATCTAGCATGCAAATCACTCCTTAATTGTTTTTGCCCACTGAGATATTTTAGGGCCTGGTGGTCAGTGTAAAGGACAAATTCCTTTGCAATTAAATAGTGTTCCCATATTTTCAAGGCTCTTACCACAACATAGAACTCTTTATCATAAGTAGACCACTTTCTCCTGGCTTCACATAATTTTTCACTGAAGAAAGCAATGGGTCTCTTTTCTTGGGATAATACAGCCCCTATGCCAACTCTACTGGCATCACATTCAACTTCAAACAGTTTATCAAAATTTGGTAAGGCAAGGACAAGAGCAGTACATAACTTCTCTTTTATGAGAGCAAAACTTTGCTCTTGTTCTTCTCCCCATTGAAATTTTCCTTTTTTCAAACATTTAGTGATAGGAGCTACAATACTGCTAAAGTGTTTAATAAATCGCATGTAGAAAGTTGCTATCCCATGGAAGCGTCTCACATCTGTGACATTTGATGGGGTCGGCCACTCCCTAATGGCTTTCACTTTTTCTTCATCTACTTTAATTCCTTCCTTGCTCACAATGAATCTCAGGAATAATAAATTATCACTCATGAAAGTGCATTTCTTCAAATTAGCATATAATTTATTTTCCCTTAATGCTTTTAGGACCTCCCTAATATGTCCAATGTGCTCAATGATAGATTTGTTGTAAATTAAAATATCATCAAAATATACCACAACAAATTTACCAGTAAAGGGACGCAGTACCTGGTTCATCAGCCTCATGAATGTGCTGGGTGCGTTGGTTAGTCCAAAGGGCATGACTAACCATTCGAACAGGCCATCTTTAGTCTTGAAGGTTGTCTTCCACTCATCTCTCATGGGAGGTTAGGTAGACTAGCACCTGGAACAAAGTCAATATGATGCTGCACATCTCTCATGGGAGGGAGTTCATTTGGAACTACATCATGGAATTCATCCAGTAGTCCCTACACTTCCACTAGAATTTTATTTTCCTCCAGGGTCTCATTCATATGTTCTCCCTTTACTACTAACAAATGTACCTCATGGGTATCCTTACATTCTTTCATAAATTCAGCATGATGATGGGTAATAGTAAGAAAATTTTTCTCATTTGTTTTTGGGGCCTTAGGAATATTCTTTTCAGCCATGGGGGTAACAAGGTGTAGCATATACATTTCTTTTCAAGTTGGTAGATATTCTTCCTACCCATGTGCCTTGCATCTGTATCAAATTGCCAAGGCATACCCAACAAAATATGGCAAGCATCCATGTCTACAATATCACAATATACTTCATCATTATACTTACCAATAGAAAATGGTACCTTGCAGTGTTCCTCCACTCGTACGCCGCCTCCTTCCTTAATCCACCCAATTGTGTATGGGTTTGGATGTTTTTCAGGAAGTAGTTGTAACTTTTGTATTACATCCCTGCAAATAATATTTTCTTGACTGCCACTATCAATAATTAAATCAAATAATTTACCCTTGACAGTACATCTAGTATGAAATAATCTGTGCCTTTGAGAGGTATCTTGATTTTTCTGGGACAACATTAATTTTCTCACAACACAAGTATACTCTTCATGTTCGTATGGACCCTCTTCATCTTCCCCATCAGGCCCACAGTATACTTCCTCCTCCACATCTTCTTCCTCCTCCCTTTCTACCATATTAACTGCCTTCCTCCTGAGACAGTCACTGGACCTATGTCCAACCTCATTACATTTAAAGCATTTAATAGGAGAAGGCTTTGCATAGGGATTACTGGGTTTAGGAGGGTTGGAAGGGTTACCTTGAGTATGTCCTCCTGTGATAACCTTACTGGCGTTAGTTGTACTTGTCGGGTGAGAAGGTTGAACTGTTGGGACTAATTTGTTCCTGTCGGTAGTTGCCGGCCTGTTGTCGCTCCCGTTGTACCGGCGATAATTATCACTACGTGCCTTGTCTTGGAACATCACTTCTGCTTTCAAGGCTAGGTTTCTTGCTTCTTGCACACTAAGAACCATCTGTACACCAATTTTATCTCTGATGGACGGTCTCAAACTGCTCAGATAACGGGTTGCCTGTTGGTTATCACTTTCAGCTAATCTCTAAAATTCAGATGTATATTCATTAACACTACAGGAACCCTGCGCACACCGTTGGTAAGATTCAAACATGTATTGTTCATAATCTGGGGGTAAAAATCTACCTCTTATAAGTTGTTTCATGCGCCTCCAGGTTCGAACAGGACCCCTTCCTTCTCTGATCTGGGTCTCTCTCATGCATTCCCACCAAACAGATGTGCCTCCCTTTAATCAGAAAGCTACCAATTTTACCCTTCGTTCCTCTGGTATCTCCATGTACTCAAAGAAACGATCGACTTCTGTGATCCAATCTAGAAGTCCCCCTATGTCAAGATCTCCACTAAAAATAGGAATATCTTACCTTGAGTTTAAATTCATCATTATTCCTACGGGGATTGAAATTACCTTAATTGTGCCAATTTCTACCATTTCTGTCGTTACCGGGAAAAACTGGAGCACCACCGAATTCTAACTCATCATCACTGTCGTCGTCAAGAAATGAACGCCGAGATGCAGCATTGACGGGTTGCCTGTCGTGGTCGTATCCTTCAATTGGATGTGGATTTTCCCTGTTCTGTGGAACAACCTCCCGTAACAAGGTCCATAGTTGTTCAGCCTTCTCTGCCAACTGTTGTTCGATGCTACGTGTGGTCGTGCGCTGTTCTTCGATTGCTCTCCAAACAGTTGGGAACCCCTGATCTCTGTCACGGGATGGGTTGCGACTGCTACCGTCTTCGTTGTCCATCTGACTGGGCA